CCACCATAGTGTATCCTCAGAATCATTTTTCAAACCACATTTACACTGATCTAAGCGGGAACTGGTATCCATTCATTTTAATCTCATAATAAAAATTGTTCTTCACTTGGGAATAATCCTGTACAGTAAAATCATTTGATAAACATGACATGTTATACTGCTGGTGATATAACTTCCGATGCAGACTGTTGCATAAGCAGTTTTCTCACACCACACTGCAGCCCTGAACTCCGACGTTACCTTGAGAAGCCAAATGCAAGAACGGAATTTTTATTAAAAAAAGGGCGCATTGTCAAAACAGACATTAAATTGTCAACCCTGTAGAAGTCTGTGTGATGTCCAATTGGGCGCATGTGAGAATAGAGTGGGTGTCGGGTCCTGCCTCCTTCACGCTAAACCCCAACGCACCGCCGTCTAAATCATATTGGGTATTTCCACAGCGAGAACGCATCTGAAGCAGACCATTTCCTGTTGTGTGCTACGTGACAAAGGGCAACTTAGACAACCTGATTTTCCTTCACACTGTCCAGAGTTCATGTGTGGGGAGAGGGAAGGGAAGAAGGGAGGAGAAGAAAAAAAAAAAGGGGAGAGGAGAAAAAAAAAAAAAAAAAAAAGCTTTTGGCATGTTTGAAAATACTGGCCAATTAGCAACGCTCTTAACAAACCATCATATCACATTTTTCATTTGTTTGTCAGCCCTGCCTTAATTTTAGACATCAAGCTCATGAATTCAGCCTTTTTTGACAGCCAGCTGTTGCAGTGTCCTTAAATGCATCACCATGAACATTTTTCCACAATGCTGTGACATCTGTTGAACAATGCAACTGACAAATGCAGGCAACCCATGATTAACTGAGGGGTTATCCTCAAGTCTCTACAAGTTGATGCTAGAAATCATACCAAAGAATGAAACTTGTGGGGTTACAAAGAAGAAAAAAATATATATAGGGAGTTAAGGAGGTGCTTCCTTATTACCAGACTAGAATTTCATGGAACACTAAAAGAGTTTTTCTATTACATCTTGATTTTCCTCTGCCCTGTGTTAGCGGTACACCACAATACTCAAGTGTCCATTATATCCACAGGCAGAAATTTTCAGTTAACTTGTTTATTTCCAGCAGGAGAGTGCAACTGCAGGAAATCAAGGTGCACATAAAAATCCAAACCCACACCCTGAGAGCAGAGCAGGGTCAATAAGTTATTCGGCACGTAGAGACAAAGATTAGTACAAGCAGCTCATTTTAGTCACACTCTTTAGAACAGATCCAAGCCTCTAGTTATGTACTGAGCAGAGCATCACAACATATCCGATCACTTAGCACTAGCCAAGATGCAGTGATGGCTCTTGGCCTTACCCTAAAGCATGGCATACTTGACTGTCCACTCCTGTGCTAGTTTATTGTACCTAACAGGATAAAACTAGGTTTTATAATATACCCTAGAGATAAGGGTGAATTTGACATCAATGCAATCAGCAACTTTGAAACCGCAACACTTCTTGCAAACACAGCACCATAAAACTCATGTTCCTTTCTGGAGACAGAATTGGTCAGTTCACATGTTTAGAGGTTAGTTTTTCCACACATAATATTTATACTTACTTCTGACTATCTGTTTTGTAGATTCGTGCGATCTCTGGCACTAGCGGGTCATCGGGGTTTGGGTCACATAGGAGTGAGCAAATGGAGAGAAGAACTGCAAGGAACATATGGATGCTAAGCATTCTTTTAACATTTATTATATTTTAGATGGCTTTAAAAAAATTAAACACATAAAAAAAGGGAATGTTTAATTTCCCTTGACATGTCAATTTATATTAGCATTTTAAGGTAAAGAAATGGTTTACCATATTCTAAATTTTAAACTCAAACTGTAGACATTAAATATTATTAGTACAGGTCTTGCTGATCCAAAAAGCAGGGAAATAAATACCTGGTTATAAATATGGGCCTAAGTAAATTATATAAGTTGGGTGTTAATTAACAGATGTCCTCATACCTTTAGAAATAGTAAGCGCAGGAGACCACTGTGATCTGAGAATATCCAGACAGATACTGCCGTTACTGTTAATATTTGGGTGGTAAATTCTTGTCGTAAACGCAACCTGAGAGAAAAATAAACAAAAACACAGTGAAAAGCTATACAAAACAGTGACAACAACATGTCCGTGTTATGCAACTCAGAAACTTTGACACTAGGCACTGACGTGTGACACTCATGACTGTCAAGTTCTGGAATGACAGGTATTACTTCATGTAGGCTACTGGCCAATGTTCATGGCGCAAGAATCACCAGGCCCTATTTACTATAAATGTAGTGTTTTTGAAGATATCTTCCTCATGTGTACAGGAAGAGCTGTTCAGCATTTTAAAGTATAACATTTGGCCCTTGTTGTTGATACTTTATGCTGTAAACAGGACATTTTTTTTCATACTAACAACTGCCTAGAGCACGACAGACTATTTCCATATTTAAGTTATCAAAACAGGAAACTCTGCTTAAGGTTTGACCAGTCCAACCACAGTTACCTTGGGGGGTTTGAAGGGGTAGTCTGTTGGAAAATGAATCGTCAAGAAGAAAACACCTCCCTGATATGGACTGTCACTCTGATGAAAAAAAAAAAGGGGGACATTTACATATTTCAGAAGACACACAGCTACTCATTATCAAGTCAAATTTCAACCTTTATTACAAATACATTTTAAGCACTCGGGAACACTACTTCAATGCCAAATTTCAGCACCGTGCTGCCATAAACCCGACAAGGGCAACAACTGTGTCATAAAACATCTACTTACAGGCCCCATGATTGTGGCTTGCCAGTGAAACACTGCAGAGAACAGAAAGTAAAAGTTACAAAACAAGAAAAGGTCACAGGTATGTGATCTGACGGGAACTAAGGTTTCCAAACAGACCTCATAGCTTCCCAGTAACACAATTTCCCTGTTTTAATAATTTCAATCAGTCAATTTTAATATCCCACTGTAGATTTTCTAAACGCAGCAGCAACCAATTTCTCCACTTTAAATCAACATCCAAATGGTTTTATAATATTTAAGACATGTTTTTAAAGCAAATATGCTAAAGTTTAGCACACCACAGCATTTCAAAAATGAAAAATTGTTCTTTTTTTGGGCTGCACATCTCAAATGACACATTAGATAATATCACCTTAGTTGCAAATTTTTGCCATTTTATTTTTGACGAAACTAAAGAAATGAAATAAAGAGCAGGTTTGGGACACTTACTATCATCACCCACTGGGCCAGCTGAGCACTGTGCTGGAGGGTCACGAGCCAGGTCGTTAAGCTCCTATGAGGAAAAACAATAACCAGTTAGACAAAAGTAACAAAAAGACAAAACAATGAGTAGATGTGATCTAAAAAAAGAAAGAAAAGAAAGAAAACAAAACAAAATCTGTCTATAGGCGTGAGCGCCTTTTAACATAATTGATATACATGCTGAAACCGAGACTGCGGTGGTGAGGGGTGCTACCTGACAGGTGTGTGCTTAATATATTTCACGCCATCCTCACTTCGGGTTTCATCACCCGGCCACTATGCTCAAAATTCAACTCCATGCAAAGTTATTGAGAACCGAGCATATACCGTGTATACTGTGACACGTGTTGTGTTATTTTTAGGGTATACACTATTTTAGAGTGAGGTGAAGGCCACAGCCCCACCCTAGCCTTCCGTAAACTTACAAAGAAGTGGTGTCTGATTTTCTTGGAAGAAAATTCTCGTAAACAGCAGAGTGAAGGAATGAAACCAGGTGTCAGCAATTCGAGTGTGTTACTCCATTCTGTTCCTGTCAGTTTCTGTCAATCACGATTACAGACCAAGAACAAATACGATGACATACCAAAGAAATGTATCATGAAGGCAGCTCTGACTAACAGATTTCAGGGACTGATATGAGTCATGGACCCTCCAACATGAATTATTGCCGCTTTAATTCATGACTAAACGACTTATAATTTACTAGCGAGTACAAAGAATATCAGGTTAAAAGTTTCGTATTACAGTTAGGCAACCTTCAAACATATGTGCCTTCGTGTAAAGGTATGAAGTGTTGGGAAATTCATGCGGCCTCCTTCCGCCGTCAAACATACATTCTCTACAAGTGAAACTGCTAACGTTAGCTGACCGGCCCAACATTAAGCCGTGTTGGCCCGTGCTAACCGATGGAAGTAGTAAAAACCACCATTAATTCACTCAAGTCAAAACACACCAAAGTCTCCTTAACATTTTTAAATAAAACGAGCTCTAAAGTTAACACATCTTCGAACATGTTTCGCCGCCTTGTTTCGAGAACAGCGGCTCGCTGCATTGTGGGAGGCTAGCGGGACTAGCTTACACGGCTAGCCAACCTTCACGACGTTATCTTACCTTGTGAATCCTTTTCAGAGCCATCCTGTCTTGGTGTTCTGCTCTCTAAGTTGGCGGTGTTTCGATCCCAAACGAAGAAACAGAGATGCTTCGCTCTCGGTGAAATAACTGACGGTAGGTCAAACCCGACGGCTTTTTTCTTTCTCTGGCTAGCAGAGTTAGCCGGCTAGCAAGCTCAAACTACGTATGCGCGGTGTTAAACGTCAAATGTTACACACTCCCTCAATAACGCTCACTTTCCTCGTGAATTAAACGTCTTGTATCGGATTAAACCTAACCCCAAAATCAATGCCGAATAAGTGCGAGTGCCAGGTGGCGTAACCCGGTCGACAAAGCTCTCTTCTGCTGTTGGTTTCGGTCGGTGCCGCTGGCCAACTAGCGTCAGTCTACATGTATTTGAAGCTTAGTTGTGAAGGCGGTGCAGTCGGCTGCTGAGTGACGGGGCGTTTGTGATGGCACATTGGTTCCTGCTGCTGAAGAAAAACAACATACATGCGAGACCAGCCGTGACATGCCAGTCTTTAGTTACTGAAAGACACAATTAAACGCGAACACTTTTTAGGATTTTTGTCAAGTAGTGATTAAAAGTTGCCCACATGATCACAACTTCAACCACAAGTTGTACAATTTTAATCGCGTTAATGTAATTCAGGCAGTATTCATATTAATCCAAGTAACTAAATTATAACGACGCTGGATTACCAAACAAAAGCTTCTGAACCTCAAGGGGGCTGTGTGGTAATTGCTTTGTGGTAATGTTTTTTTTTCCAAAGGAGACATTTTAACATTCAATAGCAGGAACAGACGGATGCAATTTAGGCCATTAAGCCTTATTCAAGTTTTTGTTACTCAGCCAGTGTTTATAGATCTGGTGGATCCACTGTCTTTCTGAGGTTTTTTAAATCAAGTCATCTACAAAAAATATGTCCATATCTTTAACTTAACATATTCTTAATTTTTTAAAAATCTTATTTCTAAGATATATATATATGTATGTGTGTGTGTGAGTACAAACAGCTGATTCATAAATAAAAAGACACCTGCTGAAGCTTTTCTCTTTGCCACATTTCTTCCACAAAAATGCTACCCAACCTTGAGCAAGAAAACAGACATGAAAAGAAAACAAATGTGATTTCTCCAAGAAAACATCTTTAGTTGTGACCTCCTAAAATTCAGTAAATACTAATATAAGATGTGCTTTATAGTTAAATCTTTTTTATTAAACATGATCTTTATTTAACATTTTCTTTAAAGTTGTACATTTATCGAACACAATTTAATCTCATTATTTATTCAAGATACACATTATTTGTTAGACCGAAGCACATTCATTATACTGTCTGGCATTTTTTCCCCCAATCTATTGGTTCACACAGAGAAGCCAAATGTTTTTAATTTCCTATTATTGAGAATTATGCTTTTATACCCTTCAAGGCACTGGTACAGGGCAGTCAGTCACTGGTGTCTGTGCTTCTACGTGGGCTGAGCTCAAGGCTCTGTGGAGCAGGTTCAACCTCTCTGAGGCTTTCTGAGTCTGAATATGTGCAGCTACCTTTATAACTTTGGGCACGATCAGTGCAGAGTTCTGAGTTTTTATTACACGATTGGACAGATGATGGACTGTCAACAAGTGTTTTTCCACTTGAGATTCCCTCTTGATTTTTCTCTGTATTGTTTGCCTCTGGTGAATTGAAGCTCTTCCATGATTCAGGTGTCCCATCACATCTAGGACTGAAATGAATGCTGTCCTCAACCTCTGCTAGTTCAGAGGCAGACTGGCCCTCTGTTGTAACAGTTTTCAGGGTAGATGGCAGTATGGAGTCCTTACCACTCTCCTCAGCTTGGTTGGGCGTGTTAGGAGGATTTTTATTTTGAGGCGTATGAGAACTTGAAAGGTCCCCTGAACGCACTGGATGGACACATTCAACACAGTCCCCACTGGGGCTGTAATGAAGACCCTGATGGGCTTCGCTATTTTCTCCATTCTCAAAGCTTTTCCTTCCCTCCCGCTGCTCAGTGTCATCAGGAGTTACACTGTTGCTCTGTGTCTCCTGCACCGTTGCTGTATCCAGCTTCTGATCTCCCTCTGGTGCAGCTGGATCAGGCCCCGCGTCTCTGTGAGGTGGGGCGGCCGGGCTGTCAGCTGAAGCCTGGCTCTGATCCGGCGGTGTTGGTCGTACCGTTTGGTGGCACATGGGGCACGTCTCCTGAACATACAGCCATTTGCGGAGGCAGTTAGAATGGAAGAAATGTCCACAATATGTGATCACGGCAGAGCTCATTTCCTGTAAAAAAAACAAACAAAAAACATAAATAAAAAAATACAATAAACAAAATGCATAGAAAAATGATATATAATTATCAAAGTATAAAAGTTTATATTAATATAACAAGTCTGTGTATTAGATAGGAATATTTATTTGTATCATATGTGTAGATATTAGGTTGTATAAATAGTCAAAACATCTATATAAGATGAGCTAGACAGGTGTAGGAATTATTAAGCATTTGCATCCTCCTACTTCCTCTTATGAACAATACTTTGTTTTTGTTGGGTCCCTCCCCCCCCTTTCATTTCTTTATGAGATGTTTATTTTTTCACGTGACTTCTCTTCATTTACCTCTAATTTATTTTGCATTAATATCAGTCAATTTAATAGTTTTCTTGTCCCCCATCAGCTTACTTCTATCCTGCTTTAACACATGTAATACATTTTCCATGAAAGTCAATAAAGTCTTATCTTTTACAGGTAAAATGGTAAATGGTCTGTATTTGTATAGCGCTTTTCTAGTCCCTAAGGACCCCAAAGTGCTTTACACAACCAGTCATCCACCCCTTTACACACACATTCACACACTTTCACACACTGGTGATGGCAAGCTACATATTTTCTGTAGGAATTTCCTTGATGACTAACTACTGACTACTAGAGATATTATTAACTTGTTTTGACCAGAAAAACAAACTCAAGGCCAAAGAAGAGTCCTGAATGCCAAACTGGAAAAACAGGAATAACAAACCTCACGCACGCACACACACACACACACACACACACACACATACATATCATCAGCTATTATATATGCAAAGTAGTAGTCATGACAACAAAAGGGGAACACTGTCAAAAATCAAGTATCAACCCATGACAACTTTTAATTAATGCCCCAATACAAAATGACACACTGATTATAATAAGTAAAACCTAAGCCACCTACAATAACCTGACAACTGTTATGTTAATGTAACGATACTGTAAATTAATTTAGGCCTTCAGCACTGAACAACTAAAATGCATCATCATCTCTATCTGGGATCATTTCACACTCTTTTTATATTGTTTAAATAATTTTAGCAAACTTTAGCAAAAATGCCTCAATTTACCATGGAAGTCAAAGTATTCAGAGAAACTAAATTTAAGTATATTTTATTAAGCAGGCATTTATGTATTTTCATAAGTATCAATAATGTAATCAAGAAAGCATTTTGTGTCTGATATGGAGGTGAACTGAGGGCACATTTAGAAACTCAAAGCCTGCCAGTCCTCTTGCTGCATAATCCACACAGTCTAATTATTAACCACACCTAAGCATGACGTGTCAGCCACTTGAGATTTGAGGTTTTCTGTTGAATTTTTAAATGGATTATTTTGTGTAACACGCACAAATTTTACATCACTGATGATTGCTTTTGGATTAAATTGTTTTGGGTTTTTTTTAAATCATGAATGCTGAAATTTGGAAGAACAATTTTCAAAAGCCAAAACTCACAAAATGTGATTGCACAGAGTTAAATGTTGATGGATTTTCCCCCCTCAAAATTTCATAGTTGCTTCTGCATAAGACTTGAACAGCAACTAAAAGAGGTGGTGGTTTAGAGGAAACAGAGGTCATGATAACCCCAAACAAACAAACCACAACAACAAAAAAACCCCAAAAACAAAAAAATTAAGGCCATCAGGTCATTCATGGGGGGGTTGTACTGTTTCCAAACCTAAATGGGGTCAGATAATTGAACAAAATAAGTAAAAAACATAAAAACCACCTACTTAAGTTCATGGGATGCTTTGTGTTATTTTGTGCAGAAACTACACGAGTTTGAAAATGAATTTTCGACAGCCAAATGAGGATTAGGACTGGGTTTGAGGTTTTATAGTATCTTATGTTGTTGGTTCTCAGCTTTAACCATCTTCTAAAAACAAAAGCTACAAGGGCGACTGACCTGAAAGCAGATGGCGCACACATCATTGTGCTGCTGCAGCTGCTGAGCTGTGGCTCTGGGCAGGGAGTTGATCTTCTTAGCTGCTTCCTGTCTGAGCAGGAAGCTCCTCCAGCCAGACTGAGCTCTGAGCCAAACGTTAAAATATGAGTGGATGATAATGACGGAGGCACCCATCCAGCTCCACTCTCCAAAGAGTGACTCCCAGGTGCCATAAGCCACCACGCACAGTGCCACAACAAACTCCAACACACGGCTGACAGCGTTCACCCAGTAGATCACTTCGTCCAGGCTCTCAATTGGGTCGCTGCGAAACAGCTCCACCATGAAGAGGGAGTAGATCAGCATAGTGCCTGTAACCTGGAATAAACAGTCGGTCTTTTACATGTGCAAGTCAGCAGTCATCCTCCTCTCCCTGTATAAATCTACAGCTTCTTCCATGTTAACAGCTTCTTTGTTTTTCAGTTTGTGAAGGTGACCTTACGTTGTCTACTAAATGCCTTTTTCTATTCATGACTATAGGAGGTGTCACATTAGTGTTACTGCACAGGTGTACAGAAACAGGACGATATCACAAAAAACAAACAAAAAGGTATTAACTATGTAGACATGCACTACATCTGACCTCCAGTGGGGGGAGCCAAAGTCATAAAAATTTCTCACATTCAACACTGCATTGCTGGGACATGACTACACACATTTACAACTGGAACTTAATGGTAACAGTAGTATTCCTGTTTTAAATGTCACAGTAATTAAAGCCAGTGATTTAAAAGCATATAAATAATCTAACCCTGTATTTCAGTTTCTGGAATATCTGTTACCACAGCTGCATTTAAGATTGCTTCCTGAATGTATTCATAATTTAAAACACACTAAAAAGAGAGAGAGAGAACATAAATACTTCCTACCTGAAGGGATGTAAGCATGCAGCTGGATACCAGTATGAGGAGCCAGAAATCCATGTGGAAGAACTGGGAGATCTTGTAAGCCATAAACACTGGGAAAACCAGCAGAAGCAAACACATGCTGAGGCCACGGAAGTGTTTCCACAGACTCCTAGAAGCATATATGAAGGAGAAATTAATGAAATCGGGAATAAGCTTAAAAAAGAAAAAACACTGTTGCTGCTCTTACCTGTTTCGTGATGCACCCAGTGCGAGAATAACTGGATCTGTTATTTCTATCATTGACTGCAGGGTTGAGGTCACCACGATGAAGAGGA